AATAGTCGGATGGAAAAAGGTTCCTTAAAAAAATACTTTTTACAAAATTAAACTAGGTGAAGCTTACATTTAAGGAGAGCATATTGACAAAATAGATAGAAAAAGTTTTTTTTTTATCTTAAATGCAAAATATTGATATATTTTTCTACATTCTTGATATAATTACTGCTTTAAGTGTGTTGCTCTGTCCGCTAAAGGCTTGTTTTAAAGTCTATACTCCAGTTAACGATTAATCGATTAATAAATTAGTTGACCATTAATTCAATAATCGATTAATCATGATTAATCCGATTAATTCTAAATATATATTGTTAAATTACTACAGTTTTTTATCAGTTCATGAGGACACCAGTCACTTTTCACATGAGCATGTTCTAATCTGCTCGTTTTGTGTCCCTTTCCACAGAGGCCTGCAGTAAACTGCCCTTTGAGGAGCGGAATGGCTGCGCATGGCACTGAAGGCACCGCTTTATCTCCAAGTGCCTTGTTACGGTGCTGCACTAGTTTGCTCACACAAGTGAGAGGAGCCAAAAAAGAAACGTTCAACACGTCATGCAGGGCAGCCAGAGAGTAAACAGTGTCCGGATTGTAATCTCTTTTTGGGGAAGGAAAATGGGGCTGTTGTGTCTTTAAGAGGGGTTGCTGGTCCCTCAACGCAGCTGCCGGCGTGTGTGCGTGCGTGTGTGTGACACAGAGGACAGCGGGGATTCATTACTTAAGCAGTACAATGGACATTTATCACCCCGTGGTGTTATTCAAATTCAGTACCAAGCGAAGACCTTCTCCAATCCTCTCTCCGCCTTCGCATGGCAGCCACAGCATTTATTGTTGGAGCAGGAGGTGCAGAGACGCGCATCCGCACAGGGTGTCAGTCAGTCAGAGTCCGTAAAGGATGGTTGGAGAGGAGGCAGGAGCGTCTGTCCGGAGATATGAAGCAGCCTGCTAGCTCCCAATCTTCTGATGAGAGGGGGGTGGCGCATTTAGACCGAGAGGAGACATCCGAGAGGAACACACGATGTCGGAGCAGAACCAAGGACGCACCAGCGGGAACCAGAGCGTTTTCCATCTCACTTTGGTTTCATCAGTGTTGGAAAGGACCACAGCCGCTCGTCGTGCCTCTATTCAAACAGAATGGGGATTTTTTTCATTAATTTAACAGCCGTGGAGAGCCATTGTGTTGCACCTTGAGGCACCAGAACTGAGTTTTCCTCTTTTCGGCACACACTGGTGTAGGATTTACGCGCATCCCTCCCTGACTCTCTCTTATGTTGGACAGATAATTTAACTCTTTTTTTTTTTTTTTTTACGTTTTGTTCTGGAATTAGTTCTGAGACTCTTTAAAAAATACATAGATTTAATTTTGGTCAAAACTATAATATATATACGACCACTTTTAAGGACTGCCGAGATAACTTTGAAAGTAGATCCTTAAGAGAAAGATCGGGCTGACGAATACATGTAAAAGGTGTATGGTGTCTTTTATACTGTTTTAAGGCTGGTTTATTTCTAAAATGATTTTTTTATAACTAACGTTTCGTGAAATCGGAAGGAGCTTGGAAGTTTTACATCAATGCTGTTACTGCAAATGCATCCTGCTGCAAAAACTCAGAAATAGAAATGCATGACAAAATAGAGAGTTTCTGAGGGAAATGCATTTCCACGAGAAAGAGGTGATAGAAATATTAACAACAGTAATTTACATAGAAAACTGTTTTCTGCGTCATGCTGTCAGGGGACATGAAGGCAGCCACAGCAGGTGCACAAATAAGGGGCCCTATAACTGCTCCCCATGCATGCACTGTTATTGTGACTTTTTTTTCTCCTTTTCTTTCTTTGGCAAGATGATGTTGTGCAGACAGAGTCTTTCGCGACTGATTGTCCAAACGCAATTCTTGAGTAAAATCCAATTCCGCTCCAAGAATTGTGTATGGACATCTGTTGCTGCAGGCTCACATTCATCAACTGCTGCCTTCTAGGCCTCCGACATCTCTAACAGCAAGTTCTGTGTTTGCCTTATAACTGTAGCATTTGCAGGTAAGGCATACATTTAAATTTGCATCACATTTACTTTGGAGTATTTATGCGTTTGGGCCAATAAAGTGACCGGGGGGAGAGAAAAAAAAATCCTTTTCTGCCTCAGACTGTGTTTTCGGCTTGTTCGTCCGATTAGTATTTACATTATGTCGAATACTAATCAAGACTGTTTGTTTTAAAAGACAAATATCGACTGGATGCATTGATATATCGACTGCATTTGGCAAATATGGTTGCAGGCTCACGGTGAGGCCTGCACGCTGCGCGGAGGCGCGCGCTGCTGGTGACATGAGCCAATCATCGGACACAAGAATAAGGAAATCAGTGGCAAGCCATCTGATGAAAGAACGAATTATCAAAAAATTTCATTTTACTTAAAAATGCACCATATTTATTTATAAAAAAACAACAAAAAACGTGGATGTAACAGCAATATTATGACATGGATAGAGGCAATACATCTAATCGCATTAAGCAACGTTTCTTTTTTTTTTAGGATTTCTCTTTTAAAAATGTAATGCATCTTATTGAATGTAAAGGTGTAATATTTTTAGTTTAAATTAAGAAACAAACATCCTAAATTGATGCTGCTGATGTTAATCATCATTAATAAATCACGTGGGCTACTTATTGGGCAATTTTATGGCACGTTGCTTTCCTTATGCCAAAATAAAAATAAAAAAACAAGTATGATTATATAACAAATAAAATAAAATAGTGCCCTAAAACTACCTTATTTCTGTTATTATTGATGAAATGTGTGGGTTAATTCGGAAGAAATATAGGGAATCCTTATATTTTCTTATTCTATTTGTTTTGCCGTTAATTTTAGACTAATTAATTACACAATTATGCACCAACTCTGCAACCCCCCACCCCTGCACCGTTTTGCAGAAACACATTAAAGGGTAACCTCTCTTAATACCAGAGGATTAATGCACAATGGTTGCTCTTGTGGCAATACAGCGTGTGCATCGAAAGGCAAACGCAAACTTTACATTGAATCTTATAGGCTTATCAGCAGTAAAGGTTCCTTTGAAGACAAAAAGGTCTTACAAATTGAAACGACTTAAAATAATTACATTAAAACTACTTTAGTATTTCAAAATGCCTGTGTATTAAATCCAGTTTTCAAAGGTATTTTCCACCTGGAAATGGGTAATTCTCGCGATAGTTCGCTTTGTTGAAAAAACATTAGTTTGGGTGGAAAAAGGAAAAAAAACAAGTGTGGCTGTTTTATAAATTAAAACTCAAACTCCCTACATCAGAAACAAAGAATTAAAGTTTTAAAAGTATTAAAAATTGTAATTGTAACATGATTTAATAGTAACATATAGGTTTAAAGATATGTGTTTAAATGTTTTAAGCAATGTTTGGCTTAAACTTAGGCCTATTTCTATTAGGTCTTTTGAGCCTGGTGCCTAATTATGGATAATCACACTCATCCTCCTGTATGACAGCATATTGTTTACTTCCTGTGTTTACCTCAGACTGAGCTGTTTATTCTGATGGTGTGAACTGGGCTAGTCTGTATGATGCTGAGGGCAGGAATGTTGGCCACCTTCTCTCCAGCTGCCAGCTGAGACCAAAATAATCCAATAATTACCAATCTGCAAACCACTGTTTACTAAAGTAACCCTATAACATTGGTGGTCACTTAAACTCCTCATAAAAAATACAGGATTATATAAGTATTTTTTTAAATTTAATTTTCATAAACTCTATATATGTATTTTGTTAGACAAAATTAAAATATAGTTAAATTGCAGCACAGGTGCAAATAGATGATTTCCCTCCACTTTGTAAATGTGTCCATTGCAAACAGCAGCTGACACAGTGCAACACTTTCTCCTCACAGCCTCATTAGCATTTCCTTTCTGCTGTCCATTATAGGCCGGTTTCCCTGTTGCAAATCGGACTCCACGACCGAGAAAAGGCTTTCAGGTCGCCTCAGGCGTTCAAAGGAGGGCAGCCCGGAGGCTAGACCTCGACCTCCCGCAGTGGTCCTGTAGTTTACACCTCCTCCCTCCCACACACACACACACACAGCTTATATGTCCATCCTCCACCTACACTTGAATATCCATTCTGAATCTGGCTTTAGCGAGGTACCAATCTGTCCCAAGTTGATTCTAATCACCAGAAAAGTGCAACTGGACCACAGAGCATCTCTTTAATCGATTTTGTAAGCTATCAAATATGGCATAATGTTAGATCTTTATTAAGAAGAAAAAAAAAAACTTTGAGAGGCCTCTCTGGGCACTTGGGTATATTATTATTTCAGAAAGTAAATGGATTTGTCTAGAAAACATTTTTACAAATTCATAAACTACACTTGTTGTCCTGCTTTATGCCCACAGATTGCTGGATAGAGGAGCCAGCAGAGGATGGATGGATTAAAAATAAAGAAATAACTTGCAGTTCCTTTAACAACTTTTCAAAAATTGTTTTTGTTAATGAGCTTGTAAAAAAACCCTAAAAAAAACAAGCTTTACTGCCTATTTAGATTTTTTTTTTTAAAATAATTCCATCCCCATGCTTTATATTATTTGGCAAAAATAATGGAAAGCAACCAGTAATGGCAAAAATTACTGAAGTGGTGAAATTATAATCTTTTTTATAATTTATCAGAAGTTGAAATTATTTTTATTTTGCAATGCAAGATAAAACATACACAAATATAATATATTCCTGCATTGCAATATAAATACAATAAACAAAATAATAGCAATAATATCGTGTGTTGCATCACAAATTATTGTGGCTCTACAGAAAGGAGAGTCGTCTAGAAATTGACTCCAGGCTATGTCAGTGTGCCCTTGGGCAAGGCAATCTCGACTCGTCTATACTGATTCGTGCATTGGTGTATGAATTTGTGTCCGTGTGTATAGAAAAACGCTAAACGAATAAAGCTTATTAGCTATTTATTATCAGTTTATTTGGGGAAAAAACTACAGAAAACAGAATAGAAATAACACAAACATGTTTATTATCAGAATGGAAATAAAGGCATGTGAATGATTTATAACACTGAGGTACAGTTGTAAAGAAGAAGAAAAAAAAACAACCAAAAATGAAATAAATCTGTATTCTCTTTAATATATCCTCACAGAAAAATTTGCCGATCATGCATCCATACATTTAGAGGCCCTTGTAACCATTAAGATCAAAATAAATATCTTCCTTTCGAGTCTGACATCAAATTTTATATAAAACGTTAAGGCCGATTCCTTTAGCTTTCTAGTTTAATCAGACAAGTTTACAGATTTCCTTTAGCATGCTGTAAAATTCCCCTCATTCCAGCCGAGAAGTTACCTTCGTGACAGCACCAACAAGCCGTCAGCGCCCAATAGGGTGAGTCGTTGCTTGGATGTGAGAATAAAGGGAGGTAAAGAGGAAAGGATGAGGAGACAAGGCTGGAATCTTATGTATAGGTTAAAACATCTGTCCTTTTTTGTTTTTTATCCTCCATGAAGTGTCGAAATAAACACAATGTTGTCTTGGTCTTCGAGTTGATAGTCAAGTTCCCCCTGATGTTTCAACACAGAAAATATTCAATATTAAACGCAGGCAGAAGATAATGGAGAAACTACCCATCCTGTGCACCCATGTGGGGTTCAATCAATGACAAACTTCTCAATTTATTTACACCCCGAGCCGACTGTTATAATTTCATCGATTCATTCAAAGCTGGGGCGTTCAGACCACATGTGCATGTACATACGTCCTCAGCTATGAGACCCCAAGGACAAGCACCCTACACCTTTTATGAAGCCATAACTGACTGGGAGACAACGAGCAAACTCAATTCACTGCATCAGCAAATATGGCGTTTGTTCCTCCCATTCAGATTAAAAATTCATTATTTCCCCCTGATTTAATCATAAAGTTTTAACTTCAGCATTCATGATCTCACATCATTTGACAATTAGCAGAAAATATGTCACACACACACACACACAGGTTCACCCCAACATCTGACAGTGAACGTGACTCCAAGCACTTACCATTAGCTCCCAGTCGGCATCGTTGATCAGCACCAGAATCCCAGGTCTCCTGTGGGAAAACAGTGCTATAAGATAAATGCTTGTTCCAAAGGTAACAAACAAAATATTATAAAATATAAAAGGCCTAAAAAAAAAAAGAAGAAAAAATCACCTCCATCCTTTAGACTCTCATATTAAAATAAGCTCACAGGAAAATATGGCTTTTACAATAAATCCCCTTGATCTGTTACATAATAAATGATTAAAAGAAAAATTATTTGTATGTGGGAGTATTTAAATGATCTCCTTTGAATTTAAGTCTGGTGAATTCTACAACAAAAAAAGAAAACAATTTCTCATACTTCTCTGGAAGCTACAACTGGCAATAAAACAAGAATCAGCAAATATTTTCAAAGACAATCATTTATAAAGAGATAATTTAAAAGCAATTAATGTTTCAAAACGTAAATCATGTCTGAAAAAAATTAAACCTGTTTTTTAATACAGAGCAAAACAAAAACCTAAACATCAATGCTAATTTCATCAATTAATTTTATCTGCAGGTGTAATAAAAGCATGACACAGCTCTAAACAAGAGACATAATTAACCACTATTAGAATGAAAAGCCATTTCTATGTAGTCGAACGTAAAGCAAAATACCTTAAAGAGGTTAAAAACACCAAAACAAGCATACAAAAACACCTTATACCCAGATATATTGATCTAAATAGATATAATGCTAACTAGAGAAATGCATCTTGATGTCATATTCAATGTAGAACATTGTAGAACATTTGCTGCCATCAAGCTACACAATAAAGAGTGTAGCTTGATGGCAGCAAAAATAAATATATAAACAGCAAAAAAAATGTAAAAATAATGTACACTACATACATTTTAAAAAGCTTAACAACAAACACAGAAATGTATGATATATAGACCAAAATACTTTCTAAATAGGCTTCGACATACATTTATTAAAATAAAGTTGGATAAATGTGAACATTTTACAAGCTATGCCTACATACAAACCATTTTTCCAGCCCCAGAACATTGAATGCTTCTCTTGTGACACCTATCCAGCAGTCTTTTACGATACTATATATAAGGAAAAAGTCATTTTTATCTACCAGCATACCTAACATACAAATATATATATGGAGGAAATGGGGGGAAAAAAAATAATATGGCTGGAAATTTGTAAACATCATTGTGTAATAAGGTATGGAGGATGATAACTGATGAAACAGAAGCAATTCTTTGGATTTTGCTTCTAAAAGAGTCCAAGTCATGTCCATGCTGAGATAATGCCAGAGGCAGACACAGGCTGATGGCTCTCATAGTGATCCTATCCACCTCACAGATCATCTCTGACGTCAGCAAGAAAAAGCAGGAGAGGAAGCCGAGCACAAACACGCCAAAAAAAAGAAAGAAAATCCCAAAACAAACATGCAAAACAAACAAGGACAAAGCAAGAATTTCAAGTGTCCATCGAGCTTTAAAAGTAGATCTTAATGATAGCTTTTGTGAAATGAAAAAGAAAATGTATGCAGCTAGAATGTCCAGCCTTAATCTAATCTGTGAGGTTTGTAGGTAGGCCAGCTTTTTCTCTATTCATTGGTTAGACGGTGCTATAAATAGTCGCACACAAAGGCAGCGGTAAAAGTCAACCAGTCCTACAAGACTGCTGTGAGCTTTACATAAATGCATACATTAATGTGGCATCATCATCATCATCTCACTGAGGCCTCTGATGTGAAACAAAATCACTTAGTAAAAAAGGTACTTAACAAAAATTACTGCCTATTTTTTAACATAAGGTTTATAAAATTGTGTTTGTGTGGAAGTGAATATTTTGGTATTAATGTGCTCAGATCAAGTGTACGTCAGGTGTCCTTACACCGTGTCTCCCTGGACAAAGAGCTCGGGCCGCTCCTTCAGCAGGTTCCGTTGAATCCAAACCAGCAGCTGCTTCATATTCCCTGTAAACCACATGGACACATGTTCATAAACATTCTATCCAAAAGATTCCCGTTTGTCTTCAGTCTTCTCACTAAAACGGTTTCAATATAAGAACGCTTCGTTTATCCCCGAGAACAAAAGCAGAATCTCAGCAGAGAGGCTGCAATAACAGATTTGTGTCCCACACACACATGCAGCCCAAACACATGCAGACATCAGAGGTCACAGGTCAGGGGTTGGGGGTCAAGGTGCATGGTTCCAGCCTCCTGGTCGATGAGACGCGACAGAGGGACCAGGTGGGACAGGGGGTGCATGGATCTCTGCGTACATGTATGTATATTTATGAGTGTAAGTCGAGGAGGGGGAAAGAGGGGCGATACTGGTTATATGGGGGAAGGTTGTCTAGGTTAAATTTCGAGCATCGACAGAGATGTACTTCTTTTTTTGAATCTGCAAAAATAAAAATTTATGAAAACATAAAACAACTAAAGGCTTTAAATTGAATTTAATGGATAAAATCTAATAAAAATACTATAAAAAGATGGAATTTTGGTGTAAACAATTCTAAATCTCTTCAAGGCAAGCAAACGTTTTTGTTTAACTAAATCTATGCTACTTATTAAACGCAATGCTTCTCTATTTAGCTAAATTATAAGCCATTCCTGCATTTTCTATTGGTCTGACCTCCTCTATAATCAGACTGACCTTGTCTCAACAAAAGGTTGAACCTCACTCAGACAGAGCAAGGAAACGGGGCTATGAGGACAAATCCTCACTAAAAAGACCTATTGGTAACAGCTAACATTCATTCTAATATTTAAGTGTTTTGAGAGGATTCAGGTGTATTTCTTTATAGACAACTATTCATATAAGCAAAGAAATTTTTTTCCTGCATAATTCTCTGGTTTTTATCCAATAGCAGATTTTGTATTACTCTGCGACTAGTAGATATTCGCTGCAGGTCTGCAGGTAGAAACACACACACACACACACACGTGATAAATTCGATGGAATCAACAAATTTAAACCGTTTCACATAGAAGAAGAGAGGAGATGAGGGGTTCAAACATGGAGAGGGAGCCCGTAAATGAACCGAGAAGAGAAATATAGGTGGTTGAGAACAGCGATGCAGGTGTGAGGCTGTGAGGAGCGGGTTAAGGCTGTAGCAGGAAGGTGTTGGCAGTCTGAACCTGAAGTAACAACAAGGATTAGTTCACATTCAGAATTTTTTTTTTTTACTATTAAATTCAACCAAATAAATGCTGGTTTTCAAAAATATCATCACCTAACATCAAGGTATGTAAGTAGGATTTGCAAACCCTATTAGGAGGTGTTTTCACTTGTATATATATATATATATATATATATATATATAAAAGAGTTCAACTGTATTGTCATTACACTGTCACAAGTACAGAGCAACGAAATGCAGTTTGCATATTTCCTTTCATGTGATATACAGGATATAAATATTTATTTAAATGTGCACAAAGACTATGTATATATAGACTATAAATGGTATATATAAACAGAGAGTAATTATAAGAGGCTATAAAAAAAATGTGAAAACTATATACAGATTATACAGGAAAGTTAGGATATATATATATATATATATATATATATATATATATATATATATATATATATATATATATATATATATATATATATATATACATACACACACACACACACACACATTAATGGGGTTATGATACAGGATAAATAGGAATAGATAATAGCAGATAAAAGTTTGCAGATTATCTCCAGCTATAGTTGAAAAGTATGTGTAAGTGTTGTTGGATCCGTGGATGTGTGTGAGGACAGTCCATATGGTATTGTTGTGTGTGTGGTTTTTTTGGGGGGGTGGGGGTAAGTCCCTTTAGTTGGTGTCATGAGGCGTTCAGAATCTAAAATAGATACACACATTCTTTTCTAGCTTATAGATAAAATCTTAAAACGTTAAAGGCAACATGTATACTATATTGATAATTGATTAAAAAGTAGAATAATATTGAATAGATGTGTAACTTTATGAAGCGCTTTATGTATGTACGCATACAATTTATTAATGTCCCTTCCAGGCACTTATTTTACTATTTTTTTAAAAACCAAACAGATATTTACATTGGGTTTTGTTGGATTTTGGTTCCATGTTTGCATACCTCTGTTACTATAAAATAAATAATAAAATATGTTTGATTGTCACAATGTCTAGAAAATATTGAACAAACCTTTGCAATAAACATAAAATGGAATTGATTTCATGGATGCCTATTTGGTCCTTGCAGATTAGAGTACCCCACATGCTGCAGATGAAATGTGTATCTAAGTCCATAAATTTGGTCTGGTGTGTCAGAACTGCAATGATGGTTAATAATCGCTCCCAAATATATATTTACATATAAAACATTTTGCAAGCAATGCATATATACCCATAAAAATAGCCAGTACAGTGTGTTTAGCACTGACCTGCTCCTCTATGAGGCTAAGAACAGAGGCCATCACTGCAGCCATCATGACTCCTCCTTTCTGCTGACTCCATCTGCCTTTGACTATCAGGATTTTTCTCCACCATTACCTCTTATTCACTCTCCCTCATTTACCTTTTTATTATGCCCCTCACACACACACACACACACACACACACACACACACACACACACACACACACACACACACACACACACACACACACACACACACACACACACACACACACACACACACACACACACACACACACACACACACACACACTTCTCCACCGCTGATAGAAGTTCCTGTCTTGCCCTTCCGTCGATCATTTGCCGTCGTTTGTATGTCTTCTTTAAATTGACGCAGAGAGATGTGTTAAATTTGCACGCTAAAAAAGGTGTCATCATATTAATCACCAAATGTCAAAAGCTAATCTTTTAAAAAGATTCATAAAATGTAAATATATTTAATAAATGCCAGTTAAGTAAAATTACATAACAGCAAGAGGCTTATTTTTGAAAATTTTCAAATGCACTTTGCGGTGCAGATAGAGGTGAACAAGAGAAAAACTAAAACAAAAAAGAAAAAAAACAGACGCATACGACAGAGGAGAACGTGCGTCACAGGATCCCAGTGCATCCTGGGATACAGCTGTGCAGAAGGGAGGGGGGTAAAAAGGCGCCATTTTGATGTTTATCTAATACCACAGATTCTTTTCTTTTGCGAATGCACTTGACCCACTTTTCGAGGATTTGTTTTTGTTATGCGATTACGGCTGTCATGTAAGGTAGGGGGAGTTCAGCTATGCATTTTTCTGCAGATGTATTGGGCGAATAAAAAAAATAAAAATAGGGGGATCCTCTTACTATAGGGGTTTTGTTGTGGGTGTGCGCAAACAAGAGGGGGACGGGTCCTTCAGTTTAGGGTCATCAATCATTCGTCGGGGTCAAAAAAAGAAATACGAAGGATTCAGAACCAATTATATCAACCTTATATGGACACACACATATACACACTCATATACGGGCTAAAAAATATTTTTAGGGAAGAAAAAAAACCTACCAGATACCCAGCCTGCTGGATGTTGGCTAGCAAGCTTCGCCAAAAAATGTAATATTTAAAACCTAAAAGTGAAGATCTTTTAATTCTATTTGGAAAAAAAGAAAAGAAAAAAAGGAAACAAAAGGTCCAGACAAACACACACAGACCTACAGGTCAGCTGGTGGAGCAAGGTCATTGTCCAACTGACATTCCCTGTTCTGGTCAACTTTTGTCTCTTTGCTGTCGTGGTAACATCGTTGCCCTGCATGAACAGCCATTGTTTTGCCGAATACCAGAAGGACTTATTTCTAATATTTGTCACCAAAGCAGAGAAAAATATTCAGGCCGTCGGCTGATCTTTATTTTTCTTTATGCTTCATCACCTCAGTGTTGTGAAAACGACTCCTAATGTGTGAACATGGAGTCCATGTTGGAATAATATCTCAGTTTAATGTTTAAGAAAAAATTTTTTGTTAAACTGAGAAACCAAAAGGATATCTGAGACCCATTTTAGCCAGGAAATGATGCATGGACTAAAAATCTGAAAATGGTAGCATGCATTTGTATTTAAAGGGGGCTTACGGAGCTAACTAGACATTGTCAGATTTGTCTAAGTTTAAATCTCTAAGTATTTCTAGTCCCTTTTAAATGACGTTCACTGCAACCAACGGAATGCTGAGGTTCTCCAACAGGTAAGAGGAGATGAGCAAACAGCTTTGTGAAGACCAAGACACAATAGAAACATCCGGAATGAGGTGAGTATAAATTTCAATTAGGTAATAAAAAAATGACATCCCCAACTTCTACATCAGATATAACACTTTTAAAACAATTATCTGAAAATGGATGATCATTACAAAATTGCACTCCTACCAAGGCTTTTCTATCCATAAATGCTTATATAAGGGCTAAGAGCAGGATTAATGAGAGAAACAGCAAAAAGGCCCGTTTCTCTGGAGAAGTTTAAAAGAAAAAAGGCTAAAGATAAGTGAACAGCTGATCGTCAAATCTGGGCTTCAATGAAATAAGAAAAGGCAAGTCTAATACAAAAAAGGTATGTGAAATAGAGATGCACTGATCCAACAGTAATATCTGTACTGATCCTGATATTACAGAACATTCTAGATCATGTATCAGTGAAAATGGGCCGATCCATAGGGCAGATGTATTCAGTCTATTTTAGTGGTGTGACTAAATTTAAAATGTCTAATCAAATTGATTACAGGGTTTGTGATTAATTAATTGCGTTTTAGTAAAAAAGCATCTACGAAGAGAATGAACCACTTTTTTTTTTATTCAAACCCCTCTTTACTGAATTATTGAATAAATTATCATAGAAGCAAAACAACACCTATTTCTATTGTTTTTCCAGCTATTTAGGTTAGTCAACCATAGGGGTGGGTGAAAGTTAGAATATTTTAGCTTTTTTTCAGAGACCATTGATAACACCATGGAAAACGAACAGTACATAAACATGTGTTAAATGTGGTACAAAAATATAGCAACAAGGCATATATTATGATCTTTAAACAGAAGATAAAGTTTAATTTCTAATAGTGACAGAACTATGACAGTTCAGCACTGCATAAAGCATTGCTTAACAAATGCAATTTAAATTGGAGCATTTAGTGCAATTAAGACAATTAGCACCGAGGCTGCTGTTTGTCGTTAAGCCAGTTACTAACACAGCTAATCTGTGTTCCTGGTCCTAGTTCCTTCCTAAATGCCAGCAGTATTCCAATAGCACTTATAAAGGCTGCAGTAACCGAATAAAGATAAGATATACTTTATCGATCTCACAGTGGAGAAATTCACTTGTCACATCGGCTTAATAGTCAAAAGAAGGTGCCAAAAAGAGGATTATTGCACAGGTTATTGCACGGGATATTAAATACCGTATATTTAAATATATTAAATAGGTATTTATATAAATATGTATTTATATATTATATGTATTTATTGCACAGGATATTAAATATAAACAGGTTATTAAATAGTGTTTGCAGATTAGTTATTGCACATTTGAGGTATTTGGTTTAAGCCAATTTTTATGCTTGAACAACACCAGTCGACCTACGCTTTTGCGTCAGATTTACGGCTGAACAGGTAATACAAAGGTTCCCACTTGGGACTAAAATTGAATTAATTGTGTTCATTTTTCTAACTTGTTAAAATGTTTCAGATTAATTAATCGAAATGAATAATTTAAAGTCCTGGCCCAAGTCTATTTCTATACTAAATTTAAGATGGGTTAACCCTTGGTGGGCATCAATCTTTGATTTAATTAATACTGTCATTTCGAACCCTTACAGTGGGATATTTGTTTTCAGAATTGAATTTCTTCTCTTTTATGACTTTCTTTCTGACATGATACTGGAAAACCTACACCGTAAACTACCATGAATACAAAACTCCTATAATAACGGTAGCAGCATCATACTGTGGGGCTCAGGGTAGATGAGAGGATCGGTAGAGCTAAACTTCTGTCTGTTTTAGAGGCTGAAAATAATTTAAGACAGGGACAGGGGTTAAACTTCCAGCAGGAAAATTAATCTAAACATTCACCTTGAGGTACAATGGGGTGGTTTAAATTTAAAGTATATACATAGTCAAAGTTCAGACTAAAATCCATCTGAGAATTTGGGGGAAAAAACAGCAATTTGACATTTTCAGATCCTGTTTAACTGTTTAAATAACCTAAAGGTTTTTCAACAGAAGACTGAGCATTGAAAGGTGTCTGATGCATTTTAAACAAAGGCCTTTCATTAAGATCAATTAAACATACAGAATTTATAATCTAGTTTAAATAAAGTGGAGATCAGTTCTTAACCAATTATTGCTGCACTAGTTATGTCAAAAAAAAAAACAGAAAACGCAGAACTGGCTGTATATTGCTCTCTATAACCACATATATAAAAAAAAAAAAAAAAAAACAAGGAATCTTATCTGGTCATAGACACATGTAAAGATTCATATTTACCCTGTGTTAACAAAAATCTTTAAACATGTGCAAAAGCAATAAATATTAAGGTTTATTATGACCTGGATGATTTGTTTTCACTTAAATCTGCTGGGCGATCAAGATGACAGACGATACTCACATGGTTCAGACTGACTCGGTAGAGTTACGTGATGTTCCTTGACACCATCGAAAAGTAGCTCTGCTCCTCCTCTAAATGAAACAAAGAGTTTAGTTTTGTTAATAAAACAGAAAGAAAAGAAAACCACAAAGTTAGATTTCTCAGGAAATTTAAGATTTTTTATTTTGATGACAAAATCGACATGTAAAGGAACGTGCAATCATCAGTCACCTGTGGACTTGACAGTCACCTCCACATGGACAATAAGCCACAAAAGTATTTGGTAAAGAAGCTCCTGGTTTACAGATTGATATATCCAATAGCATTGATGGAAAGTTAAGTGGAAGGAAAAAATGTGACACAAATGGGTGCACAAGGAACAAGTAGGACTGCAGCCTTGAAAGGATAGAAATGCAAGGTGGATTATTGTGAAGGGGATTCATAAGCCACAGGTCACAGCTGATGTCAGCAGGGCAAATGAAGACATATTCAGGACATGAGCTACAAATAGAGATAGAGCAATCTTCAACAGGCAGATATTTTTATAACAATATTAAAAAATGTTTCTAGTATCGGCCGTTACATGCATGCACTGCGGCAGCAGCAGCTTTCAATTCAGAGCGCCCACAGAGCTCAGAGTATTACGTTAAAAGTTCTCTTTTCTGTTGCCGTCATTCACTAAAAGCACACTTAAAGACCATTTGAGGCAAGAACATTATACTTTTAAGCGTCACTATATGGCCCATTTACTGGTTTAATGCGTAATTTAAAATACATTTCCGAGGTTGAGAGGACCATGGCAACCAGCGGACCTCCGAACGTAACGACAGCCGGGGCTAACTGCAGCCCGTCTGCAGCGGCCCTCTCGCAGCATAGCCGTGTGTGAAGGACCGCTGGCTCTGATGGTAAGTTTTTTGTTTTATTTGGCAAAATGTTTATTTGATTTGTGTTTATCTGCTCATTATTCCCCCAATAAATGAAAAAAGTAAGAATTTATTATTATCCAGAGATTATTAATAACAGAAGGTGAAATCCAGCTCCAGACAGGCCGAGAGTTTGGTGACATTACAAGTAGGGATGCACCGATCCAATACTTTTATTGGTATCGGTCCAGATATAAAGAAAAAAAAAAAACTAGATCAGTATTGGTGACAATTGACTCAATATAGGGGTCGATCTAATCATTCTAACTCTATGCTATACTCTGCCGTCACGCGACAGCACAACACGATGGAGTGAGCGAAAGGATCTGCAGTGTGGTTTTTCACGCTCTCTCAGCCTACTAGCCCAATTGCTACGTGCAATATTTGTGGGAGAAATGTTCCGAGGGCTGTGTTAAATCTTCAAACTATAACACCACCAAGTTAATGAAACACGTCCAGAAGTTTCATAACAAGGAACATGCTGAGATATCGGACTCGGCAAACAAAAAGGATGCAGCAGGAAGCAGCTAACTTTGAAGCTAAAGAAATCACAGGTATGATGCTTGATAATCATAATGACATTTTTTTTTTTTACATGTTGACCAAGTCAGATAACTTTTGATTTAAGATTTTGTGGCCAGTTGTTAAATGAATGAGTCATAACATTTATATTGGGGTTGTTTCCTATTTTTTTTTAAGAAAAGGGAAATCAAATCATATGCACAGAAGAATGATCCCAGTTTTCCTTTTCACACAATGAAACCAATTTTTAGGTAATAATTCCCTGCATTTTTTGATATCTGTATCGGATCGGTATCGGCCGACATTAAACTTCAAATATCGGTATCGTATCGGAGGTGAAAAAGGTGGATCGGGGCATCCCTAGTTACAAGCACGCTTCTGTTCCAATTGACCCATATTTATGCTGCATGCTCCTGTTCTCATCGAGCCCACACTTTCCTGTGTTCTTCTCAAGAACATACTTGGCAAGGACACCAGTCCGTACTCGCATTCTTGTGTATTAAGAAACGGCCATTGTGTCATATCATGTATACGAAGAAGAAACTTAGATTTATTTTGTCATTTTGTATACACAAGTGTACACAAATAGAAACTTTGTTAAAAAACAGCTCTGTAGACAATTTCATTTTTTTAAATGCAGCCTTGAAAACAGTAAAAAAACAACAAAATAAAAACAGTAATATAAACATATGACTGTATATTTTACAGTTTTAATATTTCAGTTTTTTTGTTTCTTTTTTTAAACAACTATTGGTTCAAAAATATTGGCAGCACATATCTGATGTGTCAGAAGGGTGTGATAATAATCGGTATTGGAATGGGCCCTAAAAACCATCATTGGTGGATCTCTGTCTACAAGAATTATAATTCTTGCATGAAGTGACTTCTGAAGCAGCAAAAGAGGAAACAGTTCAACTGAAGTTCAGTTTTAAATGAATTTGAAAGCCATGGTCCCAGAGTTTGATAAAGATTCCACATGTAAATAGTTGTTTTTTTTTGTGACATTATAAATAACTACTGTCTGTCAATAAAATGCAAATATCTGCAGTAAAAAAAAAAAGAAAAAAAAAATAGGGTATTGTAATGTGCTAAAGTATTTTTTTCTGAAAATTCCATTAATAGTTTGTCTTGTTAAAAACAAGTGTTTCTTTTTATTACTTGTTTTAAACTTCAAATTGAAGCTCCAAAATGTTAAACCTACAGGGGTTTATGGGAGTTACAGTTTACTGTAATTTATTTTACATTAATATATTTTATATTATCATCTAAGACATGAAATTCCCAATATTTATTTTTGTCGTTGCCTCAGAAATTGCTATCTATGGATACATAGGAGCAGTACTGACTCTTTGTATCAGCTTATTTAAAATGAGAACGGCTGTAAAAGGAGACTAGAAGGAGCGAATATTTAAGTCAATCTCCAGAGTAAACTCTACGTTCTGTTGTGCTGTTGCTCTGAGAAGCTCTGTTTTCTTTTTATTTCAGCCTCCCTGTAGCGTTTAACGACCGTAAACTCACGGTTTACACAGGAAACATGCTGAAAGGAAACATTTAACAGTGCGCATTTCAGAATACGAAAAACATTTACGGTAAATAATCGCAACTAGTTATAATTTACCTACCCAAACTCCAGATGAACAGCAACGGGGGCTGCCATGTTGTCTGCGCATGCAGGAAGTGATGGATGGATAAGGCGGAAGTAACGTGTTCACACCGCGTGCTGTGTCCATGGTTACCATCAATCTGAAGGGAAGCTTTACTTCTCGAGTGAAATGATAGCTATAATGCATGGAAAGGTTATTATGTCGATATTTTCCATCGTTTTTTCTATGTTTTTAATCAGAACGCTTCCTTTACCTATTAGATATTGGATTAATTATATAATTTAATATCTATAAAACTTATTTTTTTCATTTTCGTTGGATCATTGCAATAAAATAGACCTAAGTATACCTACTGACTTTATTTGATTAAAGGAACAAATTCCTGTGTAAGACAATGTATGTGTTTAAAGTAAAAGTAGTGATTGCACTCTTTTACATATGTAAAAGTAAAAAAGCATAGGTTCTATATTGCTTATATGCTTAAGTACACAAGTAAAATGTAGTTTTTGCCTTAACTTATGTAAATAACATGTCAAAAAAAATATATTCCAAAAAAAAAATAATAATAATAATTCCTATCCACGAAAAATCCATCAGTTTTTCTCTTTTACTCACTGTTTTGGTAGGGGAGAAAAAATAAATAAATATATATATATATATAGACCCTGGGCCAGGAATCAAACCCAGGTTTGATTATATATATATATATATATATACCAGGAATCAAACCCGGGTCCTGGGTTTGATTCCTGGCCCAGGGTCTTTCTGCATGGAGTTTGTATATTCTCCCCATGCATGAGTGGGTTTTTTACTCCAGCTTCCTCCCAAAGTCCAAAAACATGAGTGACTAACTGACGTTTCTAAACTGTCCTTTGGTGTCTGTGCATGACTGATGTCATGCAACACCTTGACAAGGTCAGTCTCTGTACTATGGTGAACATGGACATCTGACTGGAAGACAGTGAAGCAGATGGTCATTGTTGGGAAGGTATTTATCTGTTGAAGCACATTTTTTTTTAAATAACCTAATAATAATAATAATAATACCAAATACTGGTGAGATGCAATTGTCAAGGCTCAGAAAATAGGAACCAGAATTCAGGCAGACAGAACAGGTTTATTTAAAAGTGAAACATTTTATTGTCTGCTCAGGATTGCGCGGCTCATCAAGCAGGGACCGGCTTGCTAAATTCTTGGTAGAGATAAATACTCAGGTTAGTGACCAGTAGACTCAGATGGGGAACAATAAAGAGCATGTGAGTCACTAACCTGGTTCTTAGTTCCGTCTGTGCCCAGAAGAAGGAGTGGGATTCAGTCGGATGATTTCTCCACAGACTACGGCGGGAGCCTCCTAGTGTCCCAGGAATGAGGCAAGCAGACTGAGGAGCAGAAGCCATCAGATGCAGAAGAGCAGAAGAGTCCAGAAGCAGAATCCTGAGCAGGTGACAAAGTCGATGTCCAGATCAGAATATCACATAGGTACCAAAGGGAAATCCAAGCCGGGGTCAGGGGACAAGAACAGGAAGAAACAGACCGGAACAGGGGCAAGCCAAAACTCAGGAATCCAAAGGCAGAAACAGGTCAGGATCAGGCCGTCAAAAAACTACAAGGTACGCTCGAGAGCTCTCACAGTTGGCTTGAATAATTTGGTACTGATGGCTGGAAACAAGCAGCATAAATAGGAGCTGGAACAGGTGGATCAGATGAGGGCAGATGAAAAATGGGCGGAGCCAAACAGGTGGGAGAAATGAACTAATATTCCAGTCATCAGTGCCAAGATCATGACAGAAATTCTGAATTTGGCTTTTAGCAAAAGGAACAACTTCCTTCTGGTTCCATGTTTTTTTGCATCAGTAGAATATGCCGGTGGTAATGTGATGGTCTGGGCTATTCTTCTATGTCAGAACCTGGAGGACAACTTGTGAGAAAAGGAAACCATGAGAATGTCTGGCTATCTGTTTGTGATCTCAAGCTGAAACAAACCTGGGTTTTGCGGCATGGGAGTGAACCAAAACACAGCAGCAGGTCCATCTCTCATTGGCAGAGTAAATATTTTCCAGTTATCCAGTCAAAGAGGTTGTTAATGCTTGCAAAACCTCCAAATTGGGCTGAATTAAAACAATTTTGCAAAGATGAGTCAAAACTCCTCCATATTGCTGTTTAAGACTCTTTGCAATTTATTGCAGATGCTTTACTGCAGTATTTGCTTCTAAGGGTGGCCCAAATTTTCAAGATTGTGTAGGTTTAGATTTTCTCTTATCCTTAATAATAAAATCATTTATTTAAAAACTGGGTTTATTTAGAGAACTTTGGTTCTTTTCGAATCAAAGTTGTTTCATAACTTTATCATTACTACTACTTCTACACTACTACTACAGTACTACTTCAGCAGTGGATTAATCCTATTTTATGTCGTAGAATGATAAAATGGTTGAGAAATGTGGACAACCTAAAGTCCCTCTGATTTTGTTTCCTAATTACAACAGATACATTTTCAATAATTGTTTCTGTTTTTTAGCAAAATGTATTTTTATTTCTGTCCTGATGCGTTGACACTGATTCCTTTCACAGATCTCTGTATTTTGTCTCTAGCTGCTTTAAATATTACACACAAAATCTTTGCCAAATCCTCTGGCAACCATCTTAATGAAGTCTGATATCAAATTCATGTTCCTCCAGACGTAATCTCAATGTGTCTTTTTTCTTCTACTTAATATTGAACAAAATAATTATAACAGCAATAACTTTATTGGTAAGGTTATTAGTGCAACGATAGAATCTTGTGGCTTTGCAAAGCAACGGTATGACGTAAAACAGTGACACCACATCTGTCCACTCAGTCCTTCTCGCTCTCCGTACGCACATTATCAATCATCCTGCAGACAGTCTGAACCTCAGAGTACCCCAGAGATGAAGCAGGGGTTGAGATGGGTGGGGGTGTTGATGGTCAGCAGTTTGAATTGCAAATCTGCTGCCTTCTGTTGGCGTCCACGCCATAGCAGGCCCCTTCCTTGTCTGTATTCATGTGTTAATGAGGAGTGAACACAGACAGTTCGAGCTGGGCCTGGCGGGGGTGAGGGAAGGGTGAGGTTTGGGTGAGGAGGCCTACTGACAGCTGAGGCTTCAGTATAGTTTTGGAAAATAATAAAGACATGATGATTTTATTTTTGTCTTTGCTGGAACCAATCTCAGAGGGAGGCAAAGGGATTCAAGGATTGGTATTTATATCCATGAAAAAGTGAATTGTCCCAGAAGAACCACGCCATTTTTGTATGTCGTGTCGTATTTGTTAAGCTACAGTGGGATAGGTTTAAAGGAAGGTGTTTTACATTTTCACCAACCTGCTCTCATTTCAGTTATTTCCTCACCATCATAAGAGCAAACACTTTAGTTTCTAATCCTTAATGTATTCTGGATAGAATTTTTGGAAGTATTTTGACCTCAAACTAAAACCAAGGTGTATTTAACAAGTTACACGTCATTTGATGGCTGGACATTTTTGATAAACCTGAAATCCACCAAGAGAAAAAAAAAATAAATGTACATTAGAGCTACTCTGCCTGCACCAGCTATAGAGCTGCCAAGGTCACACATGATCAGATGACAATGACCAACATGGCAGATTAGCTATAGAAGCAGGATTGGTGGTGGTGGTGGGGATTAGGGAGTGAATTGATTACGATTGGATGGCAGGTCCAAGAGATCTCTGGTCTGCTTCCATATGAAAAAATAAAGAGCTGAAATTAACACATACCATGATAGCAAGCAGAGAGAATCCTCTTAAAGATTACATCCATCACATGTTACGCCTATAAAACCACATAGAAAGGGGGACAAAAGAGAAGGGCTATATCGTATTGTCTGTAGCAGATTATGAGGCGTCCTATTATGTTTCATAGTTTCATACTCTGTTATGTTGGGGTGGTTTAATAAAGCCTTTCCTTTTACCCAGCATACATTTTTTTCTGCATAAACTCTTAATTTCTTTATTTTTTATAATGGGATTAGATGTGATAGATATACATGAAAACATTATTTTGAAAGAAGTATATAATTATTTGTTCTGATTTTTTTCATTTAACAAAAACTTAGGACTTCAGCTTCAGTCTGAAGCTATTCACAATTTGTCTTCCAGCATAGCACTTTCTTTAGCGCCATCCAACTTCCAATGGACATCGTTCGCTTTAGATATGGTGTTTTTTTTCAGAGCAGAATAGAATTTTAGTTTTTTTCTGCAATGATGATTTGCTAAGACACCTCCAAAAGCACAAAGATAGACCAGGTTTTCATTGATGGACTGCTTCATTTAATGTGGGATTGAACAAAAAACCAAAGTCTAACAAGAACTAAATGATCATGTCACAAAGGCATAGAAAATAGATAGTTTGGTATTTGCATTGTTCTTTGCATGCAGTCCAAAAAGCTGCAAGTCGGTTTAATCAAACTGGAGTACCTTCTTTCTTATATTTTAACTGTTCCCTACATGGTTTGTGGCAAGCTGGTAAAATGTTGTTGTTTTTTTTATAGCTTTCTTCAATTCACTCTTCTATATAGGTCAGATTTTTGGATAAAAAAAAAAGAAATGGATGTTTTCCACATATATCACCACCTGAGCTGTAGATCTTCTAGTGGCCTCTCTGATTACAGCTCCACTTTCCAAGCCAGTCACTTTACAAGGAGAGATTAGGTAGCAAGGGTTTGAAGCTATACCAAACTATTTCCATTCTGAATGAAGAACTAAAGAGTGCACCATCATATGTTCAAAGCTAAATATTAGTGTTGAACCTCACCCTGGTTTAATTTCTCCACTTTATCTTTGACCCATCAACTTTGTTCCTTGATCTACATGATGCTGCTCGTTTCCTACTGTTTTCTGATAAGACTTCACTCAATGAACTGTTGTATTTTATTCCTAAAGGAAATTAAGTGTTATGAAAAATTTTGCTCAGTACTTTTGAGAGATACATGCAGAAATTAAGCTAAAACAGCAGAAATTCAGCAACTGCTGTCTTATAGTCCATCTCTGCACTCAAGTTCACAAATGCACACATTAATGCACAAATGAACATAGGGGCACACGTGCATCTATATGCCCTCATACACACACCCTCTCCATCTGTCTGTTCTTCCCCCCCACTGCCTTTGCAACGGCTCTATCTGCAAAGCAATGTGTTAGGCTTCAAGGAGCACGCATGCATTCAACACTTTCATTGTCGTTGTGTCCTTGGGCAAGACACTTCACCTGCATTGTCTACTGATGGTGGTCAGAGGGCCCGGTGGCGCCAGTGTACGGCAGCCTCGCTTCTGTCAGTGAGCCCCAGGGCAGCTGTGGCTACAATGTAGCTTGCCACCATCAGTGTGTGAGTGTGTGTGTGAATGGGTGAATGAATGTAGTGTAAAGCGCTTTGGTCAAGTCTCCTAACTTGAATAAAGGCGCTATATAAGTACATGCCATTTACCATTTACCTATTTTATCTTTGATGTGTTTGTTTCCTGCACTTAAATCTTTCAAAATATAAACAGACTGTTAAATGAAGTCCACATGTGTGCACCAACCAAGGCAATATTAAATCCACAAGAAAGTTTAATAAACAGGAATTCTGCACCTACATGGACCATTCAAATGGGAATGTCGCCATCTGCTGGCCTTTTATGTGGATTACATAAAACAGGGGGGAAACTGCTGAGGGGAAATCAAAGCTACAGTTTGTGATAATGAAGGGAATTACTGAAAGAAATGTAATACACAATAATATAATTTATCATCATCTACGAACTGAAAGTCTCAATCTTAATGTTTGCATTGCCTTAGAAAGTGCTATTTATGATTACATGAGAGGGGGTTGCGCATTTATGGAGGCAAACATCTTTGAGCTTCACAGAGAGTATATACCGGTAAAACAAAATTTTGTTCAGTACGGCTCTTAAGACATTTCCATTCCTTAAACGACAGAGAAACCAGAGTGTGCTGCTGTATGTTCATACAGCACCAAGTTAGGTAAAAAATCTATATCCGAATAAACTGCTATTTGCAAAATTCTCTATGTAAACTAGGCTTACACTGGCCATGACTGCCAACTGGCTGGGCCAGAAGATGAACAATCTCAAGTGCTGGTTGTTGCATTTTTGATTATTATTATTATTTTTTTTCTTCTGTGCAGACCTGCAACTTTCTCCAGCACTTGTTCCATGTTTATTTTGGTCAGAGTGGCCAAAACAGGGGGAAGAATCACCCAGACAACAGTTGTAAGGTGAGATGCGTTCCTGAGCTCAGGCAGGAGCAGCAGGGAATCAGTGTGAGAAGAGTGGCTGAGAGAGCTCCAGAACCAGGATGAGGCCCCCAGCCATGCACCCCTCAGGAGCCTAGGGACCTGAGCTTGCTTAGGAATAGAGCTTAGAAGCATATTGGTAGATCGGAGAAGCCTCCCAGGCAAACAAAGCTCTTAAGGCCCAGGAAAGGCTACGGCTGGCCTGGGTAAGCTATTGGGGCTAACTGCTGAGGATCGAAGAAGGAAAGCGGAAGATTTTATAAGTCCATCGAGCAGATAGATTGCTGAAGGTGAGGTAGAGAGGCTGCTGTTGACCCTGAGGAGGACAGCAGGACACCAGAAAAGTCAACCAGGGAGACAGAGCAAGAAGAGACAGCAGCGAGCCGAGGCTAGCCTCTAGAGGCTAACTGCTTTAGGTGAAAGAGAACCACTGAGGATCAGAGGAGCCTGTGGGCAGACAGAGCAGGGGAGCGGGCTGAGAGAAGGCAGCAGCTGCCCAATGTCTGGAGGTAGGATGATAAACTGTCCTTCTAGGGCTAAAATAAAACAACTTTTTAAAAGCCACTTACTAAACCTCTTATGAGCATTCCTTGCTTTATTCTTTGTCAATATAATTTTTTCTATCTTCCTTTTGGATTACAGTGATCAAAACAAGATACTTTCTAAACTCTAAGTTTTCATACTTAATACAATTTCATTGTAAATAGACACCGGCATTAAAGAATTTATTGATTTGATGGTGTGATCTAAAATATATATATATATATATATATATATATATATATATATATATATATATATATATATAAAAACAGTCATCAGACAAGATAGGTAAAGTGGAGGCAGAAGCATGACTGCCTCCAGCGGGTGGGGGATTCATGTTGCTGCACACTGACCACTAGATGTCACTGAAACACTTAAACACTGTCGCTTTAAATGTTTTTATCAATCGATGGATAACGTTATATTATATTGTTCAGCATTATATTATATTTATGAACTATGAATGGATGACTGAAGGAAAGATCTAAAACAACACACTCTATTAATCATTGCATTTGATTGTTTTCTAAATAAAGAGCCAAACCCATCGACACAAGCAATTGTTTTATTTGAAAAAATGAATTACTATGTACAGTACAAAAGAAACATGAGATCAGTCCTGAATCATTTCCTGACTTTTTTTTTTTTGCTTACTTCATACAAATAAAAGCACTTCACATTATCATTAATGTTTTTAATGAAACCTAAGCCAGTAGGTATCCTCTTGGTCACAAAACAAGCAAGATCTGCGTCATTTCTCCATGCCTCTGTGTAATGTCTTTATACCTTTTTTTGCTGACTAAAGTGGCTCCAAGTCTGATCGGTACAGCTGATTCCAGAATAGATCACGGATCCAACATCAACTGAAAGATTTTAAATAAACTGAACCTTTCCAAGAAATTGCTATCTATTATGTCCTCCATCAACTGTTCTGAAGACCACAAAAAAAAAAAAAAAAATTATGGTTCCTTAAATAACTTAAGGGTTCCTGGCAAAAATGATTGCATAGTTCTGAGAGGTGGCTCCAGCCCTCTCAGACTAGATTACAGCAAAAAATAAAACATAAATGAGCCTGAAGTTTTAACCAATCTTTAAAGTAAAACAGGTGTTGTTACAATTATTTGAGCGCTATTGCTGATTAATTAAGTGGAAAACATAGTCATTATTCGAACTGAACATTAATTGAATGCAACATACTATTGCATGTCAGCACAGATGAATATCATGGAAATATCAATTTATTTCTGTAATTCACAGATAAACATACTTTATTTTCATTTTAATGATATGGTTCAGTGAAAAGTAAAAACCCAGATTTAAATCTTTGGAAAATAAGAATTTTTCATGGCATCAATACGAATGACAAATCATCCCTGACAGTAAACAATTTTTAACTGGAACAAACTCATTTTGATTTTGTTGCTCTCCTTTATGCCTACGGTGAACCAAACAAAAATATTTTCATTTTTCTTGTTACCCCATGTAAAATGCGTTTGGAGTATTCTTTGGATAAGTGGCTTAACATAAGGGAAGAGAGAGATAGAGCTCTATCACTGTCAGGTTGTTCTTTTCCTCCATTGTCTACATATGTATTTCACAATTAATTGAGAGGTTCTGATATTGTTAAAGTCTATTCGCAAATATGCTTCTGATCTACGTGCAGGAGGGGGTCGACACAGAGCTCAGTGGTGTGTGTGAAGTTTCTCCTTTAGGAAAAGGTACTGCACATCTTCGCAGGATGAATGATGTGAGCTGTGTTCAGCAAACATGGCTGCATAATCTGAAGATGCGTGTTGGAAAAGTATGGGCATTTTGTGGATGTATGTTTATTGACAAACATAGATCTGAAGAGGTTTACTGATTTATTCAACCTTTAGAGCAGGCATCCCCAAAGTCGGTCCTGGAGTGTCCTGCAGGTTTTAGAGGTTTCTCTGCTTGGGCACAGCTGGTTCTGATGATTGCATTTCAGCAGAAGCCTGTTACCGGTAATCAACTATTAATGTAAATCAGCTGTGCTGGAGCAGGGAAACCTCTAAAACCTGCAGGACAGCGGCCCTCCAGGACCGACTTTGAGGATGCCTGCTTTAGAGAATAACTAAACCAGGGCTCAATATTTTTTTGTTGACAAATTATATTAATTAGGCCTTAAATTTGCTGTTGTTATGTTACTCTGAAAATCTTCAGAATTTAGAGAAATCCTTTTTAATTTTGCAATATTTGCCCAAAAATCGACTTAGTGCTTTATGACTAAAAATCTGGGCGATAGTCTCTTGCTTTGAAGACTTTGGGGTATTTTTCCACATTTGTCTGGGGTGGAGATGTTTAACATCAGTTTTAGTTACATTTTAAATGGGCTGCAAATATCCCCTCTGCTTGACAATTATCCTTCTGCTAGATTTCCCTTTGTCTTACTTGGATGCAGCACTCTGCAAACAGTTTGCTAATGATAAATCTACTAAATTCATACAGTGCCTTTCTAGTCAAACTGACCACTCTAAGAGCTTTACAATTCAAAAATGTGAGCCCTCCATACACAAATATGAAGATTTGTAGAGAACAAGGGGTTGAATTCCTTGCCCATAATCACAATTAAATGTGGCAGGAAGAAGCTGGACCCCTTTCCAAAAGTTTTTAGTTGTATGATGATTTTCCACTGATCCACAGTCAACCAGTAAGCTTTTGTTTGTCACGTCTGGTAGAGCCACTGCAATTAATCTTTTTAGTAAACACGTTTTACTTTTTGAACTGGATTACAGAAACAAATTAACTTTTCAATGGTATTCTGATTTATCGAGATGGACGTGTACTTTCCCTGACTCTCATTAGAATCTCTCCACATAAAGAGCACATTACCACAGACTCCTTTTTTATGCTTCATATGTCTGACACACAGTTGCCATTAAGCAAAATTTGTCTTGGTGAAAGATTTAGTCACATGCATCAACCAATTGTGTAAGCTTTGAAAAAAATGAAACATGTTCAAAAATGTTCCCATACTATGTGAAACCTTTCATTAACGAAATTTAAAATGCACATATTCCACATTGAGTCGTCTTTGCAATAATGCTTCAAGCTAATTTTTGCATACAGGACCTATGAAATGAAATGTCTTAGCCAGCCAGAAGAGGGGGAAGGTCACTTTATCCTCACTGAGCTCTCACATTCAAGTTGTTGCATTAAATCAGCATTTATTAATGCATACCTGGTACATTTTTAATGGGATTTAATGGGGTTGCTTGATCCATATTAAATGATTTTATTTGCAGGGTTCCCTTGTGATCAGCACTCTTATGAACATCATGAAGAAATATCCACAATTTTTTGATACTCGTAAACAAAAAAATGAATTAAACAACAGACATAAAAATGGAGGAGTACACCTCATGATGCAGGCATACTCACACAGATTGAACATCTCATGAGCTAGGTGGAATATGGTCATCCCAGCAATGTGGTGACAGATGTGTGTTGATGTTATACTGGATCGAAGCCATACTTTGGAGCTTCATTTGGCCCTCAGAGTCGATGGTACACATGTTCCCATCGAAGAGCTTTTCCCTTGGATTTAAATATTTTAGCAGGTAAGTCCACAGGGAAGAACATAGGATTTTTTTTTTCCTGTTCCACAGTGAGTGCAACACATGTCCAACAACAGGAAATGTTCTCGTGCGCTTATAGCTGCCTCCTCAATCACTCCCTCCTCGTCCACATCAGCATCATCATCTCCATCCCAGTTTGCAGCACTAAACAAAACCACACCACTGTGAGTGGTAAGTGCAACAAGAGTGTTTTGGCGATCGGAAGATACAGGGCAGATGCTATAGCTCGCTGTGGCGCACAGGAGGCTCTAGTTTGTGAGACAAAGCTGTGAGAACTTTGTCAAACTTCTCGTAGCGCTCTGATTGGCTGCCCTCAGAACCGCGGCTACCCCACAGTAGACGCATCTGAAACTCCGTCTGGAAGACCTCACGTATCTCAGGTTGCTCCTGGAATCCTGAAGAGGAGAGGAGAGAAGGGTTATTCCGTGAGGACTGTATCGCAATTATGGGAACTAAAGAGAAACAGAGCTTAAAGGGATGTGACTAAATGTTCTCTAAAATCAAGAAGTGGTAAATAAGAATTTGAGGAAAAGGATAATGATTAGAAGCACAACAGGTGAATCTATGCAGCTTTTGGTGATGGCATTCTGGGGAAAACACCAGCAAAACCTGAATAATGAAAAGGTTACATTGGTGATAAAGATCAATCATCTTTACAAAACAGAGGGAACTTGATCAATAAATCAAATTCCTTTTGGGCATAATTTTGATAAAAATCTTACAAATAAAAAAAAAAAACTGATATTTTGGCAAAATTAGCAAAGAAACTGTAGTGATGTGAAAGTAGTGTTCATCTTTTAATGTTTCAGAAACACATTTTAACACTAAAGATAAACAAAGATAGACAACAAAAGGTAGGCCAAATCAATTTTTTCTGGTGTTATTTTTACACACTATCTTTGTTACTTGTTTAAACAGCACAGTGCATGTTCATACTTGTAATTACTGGTAGTTGTATATCTACATAAAACGTTCTGCAAATATTTAGCGGGATGTGTAAAAGGGATGTGTTCCCAAACAGGCATCTTTTTTCCACTTTGTGCATATTCTCTTACATATGGTAATTAAACATTAAAACACCTGTAGCTTTTAGTCAGGTGCGGCTAATGTATGAACAAAACAGGATTTTCCCCTAATTTTAGCTTGTGAATGTAGTATTCAGGTGCATGTTGTAGTCCAGAAAATACTGTAATTTATCATCATCCAGAATTAAGAACTTTTATACCACAATGCCATTAGTCTATTTCTATGCAACCTTCAAATTTAGAAAGACAGAAACACTTAGAGCTTGTATGTGGCTAGGATGTTCTGATCTTCATGAGTGAGGAAACATGAGGGAAAGGAGCTACTTTACAAAATTTGATTTTATGTACCATCCCAGTAAAGATTAAGAAAAAAAGTATTGAAAAACAAAGCAAACAAATGTTTTCTGTAACTATAAAATGCTTGAAAGTAAACCTGTTGATGGGACACTCATCAATAAAGGGGCCTGCTAAGCTCAGGCTGATTGACTGACGGCAGCAATAGAAATCAGAAGTGTTAGGTGAAAAGATCAATACATTAGATCAGAGGTGCTGTGAAACAAACTGTTTGCATTAAAAGTTCAGAAAAGCATCTCACCCTGCAGTTTGCTCTCAGCTGTATTTTTGTAGATCTCCCCGTGATGTGCAATGGTGCGTGCAGCCTCTAGGTGGTGCATGACCACATCCACTCCCGCCTCCGAGCTTTCCCAGGGCTCTAGTACCTCTCCGACGGCGGCGCCCCGCTCCAGCAAAGACAGGACAGGGAGGACGTGGGGGAAAGAGGTGTTGGATATGACGCTGGATTCTGAAGAGAAGGGACATGGTTGGAGTTCAGCTGTGAAACAATCAGGCTCTCAATAAAAGAGCTACTAGTAGCTTACCTTTGCCATCATTCATGTTCTTCAAGAACGGTTTGAGTTTCTTCTCATACAAAATAGCGCCCTCTGTATGTCTCTGGCGTAAGGTCACCCATGTCTGCTCCAGGCGGGAAATCTAAAGCAGCAAAGTACTAAAGGTCAAAATCATGCAGGATGTTCAATCTTAACGGTCCTTTTTAAGTGATAGCGGCCGGACTTTTACCTGAGGCATCTCCAGAGCTCGCATCACAGCAGCAAAACCAAACATGTTTCCCAAGTTACTTTTCAATTCTGCTGCCAGCTGGATGGTTTTGTGAAGCAGGGCTGCTCTCTCCTCTGTACTTCCTGTACAGCCAAGGAGGTCCACTGCCATCATGATAGACATGGTGTAAAACCTGAGAAAAATGTATTATTTAAAGTGAAAATTTTCTTGGAAAACAGCAAAGCCATGGTTAAAACCTTTTGTAGAGTTCTGTTGAACTTTTTCTAGATTGTGCTAAAATAAAATGATGCTTTTTATCGGCATGTTATGTGATAGAATGGCCCAAAGTACCAACTAATTATGAAGTTGAGGGAAAAGATAGATCTGCTCTTAAAAAAATGAGTGATTAAAAAAGGTAATATTATTTTGCATTTTGCCTCAATTTGATCTGATATATCTGAATAAATTCAGCTGCAACTAACACTGAAGAACAGAGTTCAGAAATTAATCTCATAAATCGAGTGACGGACCTACTTTTTTTTAGAAAAATATAGAAAAAAAATTTGATGTGAACAAAGAAATGTTTTTGTACCTCTCCAACAAGTCAAGTCTCTGCTGATGTCCATGTGGCAACGTAAGCAACTCCAACCCTGAGGACACTCCCATCATCCTTTGCATCTCTGCCGTTACACCTAATATTCTAGCAACCTGAACAATTCAATACAAGAGAAAAAATAATCAGAACATGATTATTTTTTATGAATGCAAGCTGCAATAAGCTTGTTTTGTTCAGTTGAGTGTGCATATTAACTGCATACCTTGCAGTCCGCGAGGGTGATGTGTTTAGCTGCAGTACTGGCATCAACCTCACCCAGCAGTTCTTTTACTCTCTTCAGCACAGACATCTCCAGAGGTTTATTTTCAGCAGGAAGAAGGCAAGACTCATACCTGCGGAGGAAGCGTTTCTGGGTTTTAGCAAATAATGAAGCATGACAGCCCACGAGGGGCAGCGACTGCTGCTGCAAAAAGTAAAGAAAAGGAGGTGACAGAGCTTTGGGCCCTGTGACTCAAACAGGTGATTAGATGTGGATTTATCAAGACATTAGAGTTAACCTGTCAGAACATATCTGTTTTCAGGACCATGGTATGTCAGTTATATAACATTGCTTTTAAACTAATATGACAATATTAAATGTATGTTTTTGTTTGAATATATATATTATATAGAAACTTCTTACATTATGCTGGAGCATTAATGTGGTAAAATCAAGCACCAGATATTTGTCTTCCTTTACTGAATAAATTAGAAAGTATATAGAAATAAAACAAAGATTTATTAAGTGGGGAAAAAGCAAAGTTAATTGATTTGCTGTTAAGTATATTAACTGGTAAAATTGTCTACTTTGTCTTGTGGAGTTCCTCTGGGATCTGGGTTCGGTTCAGTTCTCTTTTTATTCTATCTCAACCCTTTAGCTAAAATCCTGCTAACTACTCTGTACTCTTGGTAGACACTATAAGTAGGTTGTTTTATAACTATGATCAGATGTAGGAGTCTAGTTAGGAAGCTATAAAGGTTTGCATTTTGGTTATTTTGGCAGCTTCTTCCCCTTAAAGTCCCAGATTTGAAGTCAGGATCTGCACTTTTTCTGAGAGCTCACATAGAGACACATTTCCTCTCTCTCTCTCATGTGTTCTTTCCTACAAAACACAAAAATTCTGCTAAATTATTTGGATTTATTAAAATAGATATTGTCAGATCAAATCAGTAATCACCAATAACTTGAAAAGATATTTCAATTTTTTTCTATATGAGGACATATAGGGCTCACTCAATCTTTTCTAAACGTTACTTTCTGTAAAATTTGACAGATCATTGCATTTAAATCTGGGAAAAGGTAGAAAAAACGACTATATGTTACCAGCAGTTGAAAGCAGTGTTTTAATTATCTTTTCCAGATTGACACAGTTTCTGCTTTAAATGTTACGTTTCTCTTTATTTCCTGTCATATTTTTTTCTGCCTTGTACCACTAATGGTTTCAAATGTCTTTGAAAATCATAGTAATCCTTGTATTACTATGCTTTTTATAAAAACAAGCAATATTAAATGAAAGCACAAGTGTCTTGTCTTATCAGGTATCTAGTAAGAATGCAATTTATACTCAACAGAATGCTAGGAAACGGTTTGTAAAATCAAAACAGGAATTCTACTTTTTTTCTTCTAATGCTAATAAGTTAAGCAAACATTTGGTTTGACTATTAAACTGTTAACCGAAGTATTATTAGTTTACCTTTGTGGTTCAACTGTTATATTTTTAGTTTTTTATAACCTGCTTTTATAATTTATTTTAATATTTATTTTCTTTTAATCTGCTTTTACTAATCTTTTATTTTCTTTTTTTAATTCAGGTAAAGCATTTTGATTAGCCTTAGTACTGAGTTGTGTTGTACAAATAAACCTGCCTTGCCTATCAAAATCCAGGTGTTGCTCCCTGCCTTATTTATCCTTTACCTTTTCAATAAATTCATGATACGCAGTCTGATAAATGATTAAAGCTAAAGAAACTATGGGACTCACTTAGCTGTGGATTCACTCGAGCTGTTAATCATTGTATAACTCCTTTAAAACACAACTAGCCTGGTTGTTAATTCTTTACATTTTCTAAATACACATTTATGGTAACTTTGTCTTATTGACTTATTTTCTAAACTAATTTTCCAGCAGGTAAAGCACGTATTTGGTTCATTTTCGCACCCCATTATTTTTACAGATGGAGGTAACCTGATTGTTTCTCAGCACTGACAGAGAAACCCAACACTACAAAAAATTAAAATCTAAATAAGTCTGTTTTTTTAAATAAGTGAATTTTTTTCTTGAATTGAGGAGGTAAGTGAGACACTTTGCTAATTGAACAAGACAATTTACATCTAAAATAAGAAAAAAACTAATTCCATTTGCAAATCATCCTATTTACTTACTGAGGGTTAATACACCTAATCTAAGAAATCTGTATTTATTGCTAGATTGTTTTTGCAGTAAATATATTATATCTGTTAATCCCACATTTCCTACTGGATTTACCTGGATGGCCTGAATAAGGAGGTTGACTCCACCACTGGGGGACTGAAAGTCCTCTCTCCTTCTTCTCTGGCTTCTCCTTTCCCTCCTTCTTCCACTCGCAATCGCTCCACATAGCTCTTAGCTGGGGGTTTGGGTGGCCCAGAGGGGCAGGGTCTGAGGTCACAGTAACTCCCTGCCGTCTCAGAGGAGTGCGATTGGTAGGCAGCATGATGAGCAGGTGAGGAGTGTGCAGAGTGACAGGTTTGTGTGGGAAATTCTGCAGGAGCACTACCATCCGAGGGGCTGAGCTGAGGGTCGCTGGAACGGCGTATCACGGGGGAGGGAGGTACGACAGCCAGGACCCGTCCGCCTGAATGGGCTCTCTGCCTCGTGACTGGATAAGAGAGAGATGAGCCTTCAGCTCGCTGCAGAAAGAGTCTGTGTGATGGCAATGTATTATTTATGTGTCTGAGTCTGTCACTTACTAGCACTGTATGCTGGAGACAGCGGGGTTTCCCCAACAGGCGACAAGGGGCAGCGGTACTCCTGAATCTGGTCCATACTCATTGCACAATTGCGCATTGCGTCTTTATGATGGTGGATGGTTGATGGGCTGAAAAAAATAATTTTAAACCTTGGTTTAGATGACAAGAATAGTCTTAATCAGAATGGAAAAAAACATAAATCTTACATGGTGAGAGAAGAGGGTTTTTATTTTAGTTAGTGAGACTCATGATAAATAGCATTTCTGCTATTTAAGAACTACAACAAAGCAGGAGCAGGCAATTTAACATTTAACTTTTTATTAGTATTTTTGTACAAATATTTTTAAAAAGTCTGGTTTGCACTTAATTTCTGCCCCTTTTACTCTGCAAGACCAAATAAATTGAGTAAAAACAGATGCACTAAAAGTAGTCAGCATTAACTGACAGATTGGGCAACAATAACATTCACCAAAGAAGCAGCCAAGAGGCCCATTGTGACTCTGGAGGATCTGCAGAAATCCCCAGCTCAGGTAAGAGAATGGATGTAAAAGTTTTTTTTAAATAGAAAGAAAGATTTTAGTCATTTTATAATGCATGCAGCATGTAGATGTTTGCATGGAAAAGTGGTTTTAGAGGGGCTTTAAAACAAATGCACACCACACTTTTCCCATTACAATTGGTGATCGAAAACTTATTGTTTTTCTTCCAACTCATAAGTGTGTTCTGCTTAATTTTGTCTACCTGAAATCCATATAAATTATATTGAAATGTCTGGTTGCTATGTGACAAAGCCTGAAATATTAAAAACATTGAATACTGATGCACATTTTTATTATGCCTATAAATGTGTCTGCTCATTTCTAGTAGAGTCATTAATAAAAAAGAGTAGGAGTGAGTGTGGGACTGAACAGCTGTCATCACAAAGGGAGGTGCTACAGGTCTCTGTGAAGTGAGGGGGTGGTAGGAGGGTGGAAAGGCCGTGCACTATCATAGTGCAAAGGATATTCACTGTTGTCACAAACATAAACACAACCTGTAATCGGACAAAGGCTCCGGCTCTGGTTCTGGTGGTGCTGCTGGTGTCTCAACAGGACTGGGGCTGTCTGAGTCACTGATTATGTATACAACATTTACAATTAATACAAATGTTTTTCACAATGCTGTGAAAAAGAAAAGAGCTTCCAAAGAACGATCATGTCACCACCATCTCACCTGTGAGGCATCATCTTTTCTGTCGTCAGCCCGTCGGTCATGGTGACGCTCCGCCTCTTGATGTACGCACCCCTCTGGCTGGATGGCGAGTAGGCAGAGCCATGCTTGCTGTTGGAGAGGGCGAAGGTTGCCTCCAGGTAGCGCAGAGGTAGAGTCCTACTGACGGGACAGTAGATGTGGGCGCTGCTGGACTGGGAGACCGCTTTGCGTTGGCCAACGTAAAAACGCACAAGCTCCTGAACGGAGTCAAAACTGTCTGACTCCAACATATACTGCACCTGGGGAATATGAGAAAGAGAGTTTACATTTTAAACACCTGGAATATTAAAACATGTTAGAAAGTGAGTACAAAAAAATATCTTTTAATCCTAACTATACAAGAACAGTGATGGTAAAAACACAATAAAATGATCAGTAAGCAGGAACAAAGTTGGTTAAATTGAAACAACTACATCATAGTAGCAAAAATAACATTACCAAAATTATCAAATGAGCAGAGAAATCTTTTCTTGGCAAAGTAATTTTTCTCTTCAGTTATTAATGCAGAATTCGTGTTTACTTGCTGAGATAAAGCAGGAGGAGTTAAATAGGGGAAACATTTACAATAGGCCATACCACATGTCTGGTACAAATGAAATATTCTCATGATATCACCCATGTTGCAACCATTAGCTCATTGAGCAGAGATCTTATCCAAGCAAATGTGTTATTAATATTAGCTCATGTATTTACACCATTTAGGTGGTTTGAGACTTCCTTCATCTTTGGACACAAAGCCAGACAAACTAGGACACTTCTTGGTCCAGATGTTTTATGTGTTTTGGAAGAGTTTTTTCATCTGTTTTCTACACCAAAATAGAAATAAAGATTCTCAAATTCTTTTACAAACATTTCTAATCAGATTTATTTATACTGAATGTACAAGATAATAAAAAGATTACTTTAACTGACTGATCAGGGTACTGGAAATTTCATTTCTAAAGAACTTTGTGTTCATTTTTTCAGTAATGCTTTTGTTGGTCATTTTGAATCACATGTTGATATCATATTCTCACTGTCTATTTAAAAACTTTTCCACTGATAAATTGTATTTTAAAATGGGGAAAAAAAAGAATAAGGAAGATTAAATTTGTTTTTCACAGTTATTAAAAAAAACTAACTAAGAATTTCAAAATAAATAAATAAATAAATAAAAACATCTCATCTTTTGTTGGAGATGTCCATTCATGTCCTTTTTTAACCCAAGGTTTTGGAGCAGGATTTCCATAATCTTCTATCAGTTAAACCCAGTTTTAATTTAAACTCAACTCCAGATGTGAATAAGTTTAAAAAAAGTATCTTAGTCACTTATCAAGCGAGATAAATAGACGTTTTGAACCTGAAGTAGAGTCTCTCTGTACGCCACTTGAAAGTTTTTACAACTTTGTTATCAAATGTCAAGGCTTATTGTTACTGTCACAGTCTTGGTTCTTTTACGTTTTTCTTTTGAGTATTCAGTTTTACTTTGCTCCATGTTAATATTTTAAGGGTATGTATGGATTTTCAAGATGCTACTGTAAATAAAGTGAAAAAGAAGGTACTGATTTATTTGAAACTACTGAATATTTTCCAGAAAAAGCTTGGTGAAAATGTGTGCATTAATTGTGATTCCCAGGTAAATCTTATGGATTAGTCCATCAGTTTTGTTTCAGGAATTCATTTCATTCTTCTTTCAGTTTAGATAATGAGATAAATGGATGGCACTAAGCATCAATTGTAACTAGTGTTGCACCGATACCGATACCAGTATCGGACGGGGCCCCGATACTGCCCTAAAATGGTGGTATTGGTATCGGCGAGTACCAACAAATAGGGCACCGATACCATTTTGAGAGCCATAAGTTTATTCAACTATTGTCACCCACTCCTGGTAGGCAATAAAAAGTTCTACTGGATTCACTTTGTATTAGATTTTTTCCTGCTTCACAAAGGTAGGCAGCAGCGTGACAAAGCCATGATGGCAATAATTTTACATTATGGCATCGGTATCGGCCGATACTGCACAGCCAGGTATCGGGTATCAGTATCGGGGCCAAAAAATGGCATCGCCGCAACACTAATTGTAACAGAATGGAGATCAGAGATATATTTAGTGAAGGGTTTTGATTTTCTGATTGTGAGTTTTGTCAGGATAATTAGGTATTCTGAATATAGAGCTATTTCCAACTTTACATACATTTTTAAATGCAAAACACCATTTAATAACATATCTGGATAAAGTTTAAAAAAAAAAACTTTTATACTTACAGTCTCCAACACATACAGCGTGGTCTAACACTTAAACTAAAAGTCCTAAGAGGCTACTTATATACAACCTTTGATTTTGTATCTGTTTAACCACACATTTTAAATACTGAATAGGATCTTTTAAGCATTTGCTACAGGTATGTTGCACAGAGATGCCTCTTAAACCTGAAGGACATTGGCTCTAAGTGAGCTAGAGCCTGAGACCCCCTCTCTCTCTGAGATGTTTATGTACCTTAGTCTCATTGGATTTCACCAGAACTTTGCTGATCTTATAGTGGAGAACCTCATTGTCCCACCGACAGGTCAGAACATAATCACCAACATTGGTCAGAGAATCTCGCACAAGGAAATCCCCATTTCGCAAAACCAGAGACTCGGACACCTAGACAGGAGAAAAAGAGAAATTTTAAGTTGCATAACGATGCTTTAAACAGATTAGAGATAAAAAAAAATTTGGCTCTATCAGTAGTGGCATGTGTGTTTGTGTCACAATTTGAAAGATTAAAAAAATGAACAAAGAAATCTGTGAAACAGTTTCTCTGAAATTTGTGTTGCCAACTAAACATGTATCACACTGTTTAGCTAATTTAAGTTAAGTTCTTCAATACAAATAAAGAGGAACTAAAGAAACAAATGATCTGTTCATGGACAAGCTAACAGCATCAGGCTGCACATATCACTGTTAACTAGAATCACACTTGTGTTTCTATTTTTAAAGGAGCTTTGGAGAAGAAATCCCAAATATTTTTCAAATAGTGGGTGTAGAAAAACAGAAAGTAAAATCAGCCTGAGCAGTATGTCTATAAAACAACCCCATAGGGAGACGGCTTTTGAAAGAAGCAAAAGGGGTTGAATTCTTTAAACAATCAATGAAATATGCAGCGCTACAAAGCCAAAAAGAAGAAAGTGTCACAGACCAGCAGGAGGCAGCACATACACAGATCAAAGGCTTAAAATTCATGCACAGCCTTTTATCTCCCCCACAGTTGAATGTCTTTCTACTAAAGGGACTAGGTTTGTTTTTTAATTCTTTATACCTAAATGAATAGCTTAAGGGAAATAACAAAAAGACAAATTATGAAAGAGAAGATTTGCAGTTTCTTCAGAAATGAGGCAATTCAACAATAGAAAAATGACAAGAGAATATCAAGGTATATAATTAGTGAGGAAGGATTGGATTTAACTGAAGGATTTGTGTAAAATGATGCCACTAAACACTGTTTTGGTAACCTGGCCTGGGGTTTCCCCCCCAAAGTTCAAAATGTGGCAAAGCCATGAATATTTGAATATTTTATGTAAATGAAATGAGGGAAGACATGCAGATGGTAGATTCAAATCTGGAAGGGAGGCACATGCGGATCAAGAGCGACGATATAAGAAGCCACATGTGCATCCAGGCTGTTTGTTTGTGTCTTTGTCACCAGCTGGGAAACTCAACTGCGTACATCAGCAGCATACGCAGCTGTCTGTTTGGCAGAGTCTCCCTCCTTCTGAACGCTAAAGCAATTGCTGCCGAGCTGTGACAGATGATGGGATTCATTAATCAGTGTCGTTCAGTGAGTAAACTGCCTAAACTGCGCTTTCAAAGCCAGAGATGTTGTCGGAGTAATCACTCTGCTAATACTAAGGGATTATAAGCACAAGTGTATCTTAATGAATTCTGTATTACATTTGCTCGATTTATGAGCACTGATCCCCTCAAAAGTTGCTGATTTATTTGACCTGGATTAAATTTTGTGAAGCCAGAATGGAGAAATGGTGAGATATCTAAAACTATTTCATTTGTGTACTTTGTGTTGGTCTCTTTGAAAACTAAAAAGTATAAAAAGTTTTTTAATAAAGAAACTTTTTAGAAAAATAAAACATTAAACCTGATACCATCAGTTAGTCTCTACTCATATGCCTTAAGATATCTGATAATAACTTATATATGTATATAAAATTAAACAGAACTTGACATTTTTTTCGCCAGACTAATGACAAAAGTTCATAAATTCAAATGTGATCTTTTTCTGCCATATCTAGGAGATAGCAAACTCACTACAAATATTTTCTTGAGTAATAACTAACTAAAAAAGATGTAATAAGCATTTTTCAGCTGTTCAAAATAAGTATAACGAATTGCGGAAGGTATTACGATCTGTTTAAAAGATAAAGTGCTCCATTAAGGGCTGCTATTCTTAAGCAGAGTGCAAAACTTCAGCAGACGACGAGAAGAGGGGAAGTTCTGCAGAAATATTGCTCCTTTTCTGCTGTTGTAAGGATCCAGTTCTATTAGTCATGAAAAAGGCTAAATGTGGACATTTTTTTGCTGGCTTTTGAAAGCTCAGCATTAAGATAAAGGTCCCTATTTTCAAGGAAATAAACAGACAGAATGCTGTCAGCAGTAAGCAAAGCCCAGTTTGTTCATTGAAGGAACAAGAGTATGAGACGCCAGCCTAACAGGTCAACTGGTTGATAACTTAAAATGTCAACATTGTGTTTTGTTTTCTAAATTTGTTGTTACAGCAAGTCTCTCATCATCTCTGCTTCCAATACCAATAAGAGGATTTGCTAATGGCAAAATAAAGTAACATTTGGTGAAAAGAAAAAATAGCATTACAGATAAAAGCATAGACAAAATGTTAACATGTTGTTTTTAGGTACCATTGATTTATACTCTATTTCACTATTTCTACCGTTTTAGCATCTAGATGCACATAAAATGCAATAGTAAAAGAATCCATGAAAAAAAAACTGATGTGTGCAATTATTAACAAAATTGTATGCCAACAGCCACACAGACACATTTTATTTCTTGGCTGAACTTCACAAATGGTTTCAGATGGTGTAATAACATTTATCAACATCCTGTTTTATTCTGACCTCCTACAAACAGCCTAATATAAACATATTGTTGGGTAAAAGTGGACGAACTGTAAAATTCAGCTTCCACACTAATCATTCATTAGCAATAATGATTGTATATAGTAATCTTTAATTTATTTTTCCTTTTTATTTTTGAAACCAATGACACCAATCTGCATCCAATGTCTAATTGATATTCCTCACTGTCTGTCAGATCCCTCCACAGTCATCTTGTGCAACTGGACATTTTTAATACTTGCATAATAATAATAAAAATAAGGAAAAGGTGGTGCACGGAACACAAAAATGACAGAAGAGCAAAAAATAACAGTTTGTTTTGTTTTAAATTCACAACTTCTTGCTTACAAGAACACCAAAAATAACAACTACATTCTGGATAAGACGTCATTTTTAGCTAAAAATCTGGTAAAAAAAAAAAAAACACCATCTATTGGTACTGGACTTGCAACTAGTATGATTAGAAAGATACTGTTATAAAACAAAAGGAGATTATGAGTGTAAATATATACTGTATCAACATGGTCCAAACGGCTGCACGCAAAGCAACACAGAAAGTATTTTCAAGCTTTAATCTGGATCTAATAGGAATTTTATGTTAATGAATAAACAGACATATGTAAGCCTACACATCATGTGAAAAAAAACAAAAAACAAACAAACTTGTGGCCAGATCCAGAGCGAGGCTACATCAGCAGCCTGTTTCAGTAAGAGAGTGTTTGCTCTACATCATTTATGGAAATCATGTCCCTGTTGTCCCATTTGAGGTACTGCACCACATGGAAGTAAATCACAGGGAGCTGATAGATAACAATTATCGCCTTGTAAGGTTCTTTCAGAATCCTATAAAAGCAAGAGATGCTTACTAAAACCTCTAGCATTCTCCATTTGTTTATAAACCACTGAACAAGTATTTCTGATAAATAATAACGAGGACCTCGTGCAAGGACTGTATTTTCTAATACGAATAGCGATGCCTGGAGTTGATGACTGCAAGCAAAGTGGAGAAAATACCAGGTAAGAAGAATCTGCTCTCTCCAGCTTTTAACTGCAAACTTAGTTAAAAGTTAGTGAGGAAGCTTCCCTAAAGTAGTTAGGATATAGACAATTAAAGTCAAATAACATTCACTCCAATCAATGACAAATCCAACTAATGAAATCCCAGATTTTATTGAAACTGTTGACAAGGAACTGCTAAAGAGCCACCAAACACCTCAAAGGCTACCTAGTACTGTTGTTTCTGTTTTTCTGTGTTGAAAGTTTAAAAAAGGGTACAAATATGATAGCAATGTTGTATTTTTAGCATTAGTTTGATCATTTTTTACAAGAACAATGACTTTGTAAGAGCCATACTGTATGATGGTTTGTTTGTGTTAAATAACAAAGTAGAAATACAGTTATCTCTACTTTATACTTACATTTAAAAAATAGACTCATTAAATCTGTTCCATTTAATCTCATTTGATGTCATTTTTATTATGTCTGTTGGTATTTAAAAGAAAAATAAAAAACATCAAAATAATTTGGTTCATCCAGACAATTCATTTCTTTGTGGTTGGATTCATCACTTCACAAACTTGCTATTCTCCATATACCAAAATAAATAGTTTTTCAAGATTTGTCAAGTAAAATTTGACACTATTACAATTAGTTATAAAACTAAGAAAATTAAGAAAGTTTTAATGCTACTTCAATGGGTAGTGCAGTAACCAGTATAAAGTTTAAAGCATCTCTCCTCAATACTTTTTCCTGCATTACATTTACTTTTATAGTACCGGTAGCAGTTTTAAAAATTGTACTTTTATACTTTTATTTGAGTAAAAAGCTTAAGTTGATACTCTAACTTCTACAAGTGTTTTTAAACATGAATACTTTTGACACTTCTGGTTTATGTTTGGGTTATTTTTGTTTTTTCAGACAAAAAGAACAAACCTTTCTGAACACAGGAATAGATTTGTGAATCAGAAGACACCTTTGGATGTTCATAAACACTATTATAAATGTGGAATACGGAATTAAAAAGTTTTGCACAGCAGTTTTAAAGTCTTTACTTAACTCCTTGTCCACTTAACCTCGAGTAAAGAAACCAGAATGACTCATACCTCTCTGGGTATGTGTCCATGGTACCAGCCATGGCTCCTGATGTCAGAGGGGCTCAGTTTCAACTCCTCTTCCAGTTCTTTACGAAGCTTCTCAGGGGGAGACTCCAAAAGGTATTTCTCCTTTGAGAACTGCAACAAATAAGAAATATAGAAAAATTACCCATTAATACAGGTTTAACTGGTTTAATTTTTCTGAGAACAACACCTATATTATACAAATATTTAAGTTACGAAACTAAAGTAAACCTTTCTACAGGTCCTTGTGAATGTTGAGGAGGAGAAAGCGAAAAAATAATGTTCAGAAATGGAAGATAAATCCATTTTCATTTCATTCATTCATTATTTATAAGGAGCAATGCATTTATGCTATGCATATAAACAAATAAATAAGAAGGTAGCACTGCAGGGAAGCATCAAAATGTAAAGTAGCAGCTCAAACCCATATACACATTCATTCATCGTGCTGCAAGATGACCAGAAAAACAGCAATGCTGCTTTGTCTTATCCTTCGAAACGTTCAACTTTGGGCCAATATGGAAAAGTCAGGGTTTGCAAATATTTTCAGCATTTATCTAATCTCAGATTTAAGGTAATAGATAGCCATTTTAGTACTACAGAATGCATTAACGAGTAAAATAAGATGATTTAGATGCTTTAAAATGCAAATTTTAAAATAACAGAAAAACCCTGTTTAACAGCAAATGCTCACACAACAACAGGATGTCACTTATTTCTATAATATAAACATAACAGTTCAGAGCAGCATTAGCAGACTAAAATTTGTTGAATGATGCAGTTACTTTTTTGTTGTTGTAATTTTGTAAAGTCTGCTTTTGCCGACCAAAGCTTAACAAAACCTGGAGCTGAGACACAGAGAGCAAATACACAGCGTATCTAATTTATGTTTCAAAAATGACAACCTGAAGGAAAAAAGTATGAAAAAAACCCCATAAAAAGTCCCTTCAGCAATAAAAGTCTGAATTAGAAACAAGTTCAACTCATTAGGGGATATTTTTCTTTCTTTGAGACCTGTGTGGTTAAAGGCTCAAGAGGTTTTGCACTAATTGAATGGTCGTTAGTTTGATCTGCAGCTTCTTCCTTCCACATGTCAAAGTGTCCCTAGGATGAGCCTCAATTAAACGCAACAAACTTGATGGTGTAAATGGCAGAAAAGGCTTTTTGCATGCACAACTAAGGCTCTGTGTGTTAACGCCTCTCTGATCAATAAGAAAGGTCTAAATCCAGCCTTTTCATATAAATGTTTTGCAGAATACTTTTAAATTATATGGATTTATATGGATATACATATAATCCATAATTAATTACCTTATCTTCAATTTTCAATAAATCCTTTTTAATTCCTTCCAGGTCACCTGATCTGATCAACAGCTATTTGCATGAAGACAAAATGGAACTCCTTAAATGAGACTCTGCAGCGACTTATTACTGTAAAAAGATTAAGTTCAGACAAGCAACCTAACATCTTAATCCACTAGGCACAAACAAATGTATTTTGACATGCACACAAACTTTGACACAAATCTGCACAAAAATAAATATCCACAAAGGAATAGAGAGCGAAGACAAATCTTTCTGACTGCCAGTATGAGGAAAGAGACTCGCAGCCAGAATAAACAATAAACAACTCTGTCGCTAAGGCTGGTCTCTGTTTCTTTTTTCTAATAATTACCCTGATTCGGTTGCTCTTTTTATCCAGGAAAGAGATATTCATTGTCTAACCATCAAGTATCCACAAACATCCCCACTTCCACTTTCTTAATAAAGTTCTGGCAGGAATGTCGTCAGAGTTTTAAGGGACAATGACTGAAGATGGGAAGCTGTAATGACCCCTTTATGTACAGCGTGTTTTGCTCCTTGCTGCACAAGCGTCCGCATGTGATACGAGAGCCAAACACAAAATCTTATCTTCTTCAGGTCCCAGTGAGGTGAAATTATTAACTTCCCTCTCTCCTTTCCCCCCTCTTCTATCCTTTAATCCTCAGGGGAGGATGGAGGAATATCACCACGGAGGCTAGGTCTCCCAGATTAGATTGAAGGTGTGTGTAAGTGGGTCTGTGTGAAGGTGAGAGCAGGCCAATAAAAAGCAAAGGGGTCAAGTGTGCAGTTATTGCTTTTCCCTATCTCTGTGGAAACACAAGAGGACCCTGCAATGGAACTGATGCTCCACAGTGGAGTCAAGGTCTGTGTATGTGTGAGTGTATGGGCGTGTGTACATACATATCTATATGTGAAGGGTTATGAGGAAAATTGAACTGTCAACATGGCTCTATTTATGACAGGTTTCATGAAATAGGAAGACATTATAGGAGAAACTTTGATGGAGTCCAACAAACAATATAGGTATTAGAAAGTGAGTTAAAAAAAAGACAATGCGTCTCTGTATTCTGATATATGAAGACAACAAAACTGACTCTAAATTCCTATGACAAAAAAAAAAAATCCTGTATCCTGTTCTGTCAACACCTATAAGGTGTTGTTTCTGCAACAGTAGGCTGTTACCCAAGTGTATATCAAACAAAACCTGAGTGCTTTTCTTCACAACCTTTGAAATCCCATGTGCCATAAGACCGTCTGGAGGGAAAAAAGCATTGGTTATGAAGCTTAAAGGATAACCAGTTTGTTTATGCTACAACATCCTGAAAATAAGAAATGTGTTGTGTAATTATGTGGGATGGAAAAACAAATAAAGAATTTAATAAAATAACATTGTTTTGTGAGGCAATTCTTGACTTATTTATGACTGCCACACATAGAATTCCTCCAAGATAAATGAATAAATAATATTCTGCTCCTATGAAAGTTTCTGTTATTCTAGTGAAAAATACAAAGGTCAACCTTAAAGGTATAGTCACAACTTCAGTCTCACAGAAAATATGTGGAGAGAGCTAAATATTACCCAGATAGCAGGGAAGGCTTCTGCTTTTGACATGGAAATCATCAATAGCAACTACTAATCAAATATTCATTCTAAACTGGATTTGGATTCTGTATGCGAATAAATACTTTTCCATTAATTATTGAAAATATATAGATAATTGCAACATGCCACCATTAAATAGAAGATAAACAAGAATAAAAACTAATCCTTTTTGTTTTTATGATTCCTCTTAGATGCCTGCAACATTTTGAAAGAAACATTTTCGCACATTGAAAGTTAAATCTAAACCAGCTTGGAGTGTGAATAATCTTAAGATTAAATGTAAGATAAAGAGAAATAAGTTACGATTTATTTGCATTTCGGTTAGTCTAGTCTAGCAAAAACAGTACGTCTGTCTTTTTTCTTCTTTTTCAAATCTTTTTCAAATTGCATTCAATTTAGGAATGACATCAGAGTTCTGATCTCCCAGACAAATTAGATCTAAAGTATGAGAAAAAGAAGTGATGGAAAGCAGGAAGAGTTCTGAAATGATGTGAAAGAGAATAAAACATGGCTCTCAGAAGGATATATTACCCGATGGCAAAAGGGAAACAATGAGAATAAGTAGAATGGGAGGCAGTGACAATGACTAATGTGATGTTATTATAGCAACTACAGAGACCGAGAGGATACCCTTTACTATCCTGACTGCTTAGTTTCAATTCCATTTGGTAGGAGTTTTTGTTTGCTTTTCTGGTTTAACAAATAAATCTACCACTTCCATGTTTTTTTTTTTTTTTTGTATTTTCTAAACTATACTTTTAGTGTGTGGCCATTTAGGACTACAGGCACAAAAAATTGGCAGATAACTTTTCCTAAGTAGAGAGAATAACTAGTTTTTGTGGCATAAATTAGCAAAGCTAAGAAACTTAAGGAAGGTAAAATTTCAAACATTTCAAATATGCATATTTCCAAACCAAATTTATTTAGGAAGGTAAAAGGGCAACTTTTGACCTCCTTTAACAAACAACAACTTCAAGTTATTTTTTAAATACTCATAGAAATTCTCATAGAAATAAAAAAACATTACTTGAAAGATTACCAACACTCAAGAAGTCAACTGTATGATAACTTACTGGAGTACAAACACATTCAGAGAAGCAGGGTGTAATAAAACAAATTAGAAAACAATGCCACAGGATCTTTGGAATGGATGTCACATTGAAAAAACTTAAACGCATGGAGTTTATCTGTAACTCTTTAGACTCAAGAAGTGACTTCGAGAAGAGAATAAACATCTTAAGAAAGAAGAATCATTTCAAAAAAACATACTTAAATTCTGTCGATTTTTCTACCTGGATCATCGATATGCAGCAGGACATATTCAGAAACGCTTCAATGGTCAACATTATGTTTCTTTTTGATATTTAAGTTTTTATAGTTGTATTTAAGAGTTTACTTTTTAAAAGTTTTTTTCTTTCCTAATCCAATACTGATATCACAAATTGGTCCAATATGAGCCCAAAAAACAAATATCAGATTATATCCTTCTAATCTCTGTTATAAGCATACTAATAGAAGCATTCAGCTAATATTGTTGAGTCCGCTGCAGCTTTTCTTTCTTAAAGCATTTTTGTTGCACAAAGAGCCAACATGATCACAGTAACTGCTCTGCTAACAGAGAAGCAGACGCTGTATGCTGAGTGCAAAACCTGTCAGTATAGGAGAAGCATAAATATGAAAGTTTTCTGTCTTCAAATGTATTGTCAGTTCAGTAGTTGAATGTTTTTTTTTATGTTTAAGTTTATGTAACTCACTGGTAAGTAGTAAATGGGCCATTTGTTTTCATACTTGTTATTGGCTATTGTTTCTGCTTGAGTGTTTTCATTTGATGAAGCCTTTTTGAACATTCCTCACTATAAAAAAGTTACAGCATGCTTTATTTATTTCGTTTCGGGTTAATATTGGTATTGGTCATTCCTCAAAGATGCAATATGGGTATGGGATTGGAAAAGAAAAACTAGTATTGAGACATCCCTAATAAACTGTAACCAATGAAAATGGCTTTTATTTCATACAAGTGTGGATTGAGTGACAAAACAGCCATAAATGGGCAGTAAGGAGAATCCTAATTATAGCAGGGAAACGTTTAAATATAAAAAAAAAACAATCTTGTTTTGAATGGGTTGTCGATGTGAGCACAGGGCAGGAGAGCAGACATGAAAGGTGGGAACATGCAAGTTCACAGCAG